AAAAAAAAAAAAAAAGAGACTCCCATATCTTCTCTCTGGATGATGCAACAGTAAAAAACAGAAGTATGGCTTAAGAATTTAAAAAATTAATAACCATCAATAATTTAGAAAGCAAATTCACAAAATCGGTAGATTCAACACGTTTTTACAAGCATTTTCTACTTCAGCTGTCCTCATTAAAGAACATGGCATTGCATCACAGAGAAACAGTCTCTGTGTCCAGATAACTCCTAGACTACAGACATAAAACCCAGTACTGTTTAAACACATTCCAAGAGCAAATTCAATCAACATAAATATTTGTCAAGAATTCAGGGGAAAGTTCTCTGAAAGAACTTACTAAAGACAAAAATTTAATGGATTTGTATGAGAAATTACACTTTGTGTCATATACACATATAATGACAGAATAATGCAATGTCTTCAAGCTAAGCTCACACCTACCCCCACTTTGTGGTGCACTTGATCTCCTTGCTCTTGTTGGCACTGGTAAAGGTCATCTTTCATATCTTTTAATTCACGTGTCTTTGTCACCACCTGCTGCTGTTTCTGGATCTGCACTGTACCTATAAAGATAAAAAGGTTTCTTTTGATAGACTGACTCAGAGTAAGCAGCTAGAGGAACAGAGGAACCTAAACATCATCCTCATCTTCTCTGCAAATTCAAAAGCATTCCTACCTTGCCATTTCAGCCCTGTTCTTACCAGCGTTTAGCTGTAGCAAAATTGGTTTTTTTCAATGATAAGTAATTTCTCAGACCCAAAGATTTGCTTCTACACTGTTTTTTCATTAAAAACAAATAAAGGAATTTTGGAACACTACATAGAAATAAGTAAGATCCAAGTCAACAAAAGTTATGCTGGAAAGAATATTTGTGACTTCCCTGTAATTTTTTTAGTAACATGCAAGTCAATCAGGATAAAAGCAAGATTATTGGTCCATGCATTATCCACTTCACAACTACAACCTTCACTGTTAATTGAATTACATGAATAAGACGGTATTAGCACAGTATTTTTTAAATTTTCATGCAAAAATACAATTATTACACACTGCTCACAAAGCAGCTAGTATTGCAGGCCCTGCAGTAGGCTGCAGAGTAAGCAATTGTCCTGTTTTTCAGTTGTCAGACAAATGCTGAGACACCCTGGCTTTCATAAAAAGTATCTTTGCTGTACTAGCCAAATTTTTTCTCAAGAACAACTTCTTGACTGGTACTTCTTTACCTAACACATATTCTCTAAATCCTAACACTGATGTAGATTTTACATATTTGCTTTTAAGATTCTCTTGAATTGACTCTAGAGAGGAAGGCAACAGCAATTTTTAGGTATTTCTTTCAAAACCAATGCAGCATATTCAGAGCTCTGTTTCTGTATTTAAAGAGAGGGGAAGACGTATTGTTAAACAGAATACTGTAAGTACACTTCCACTAGGAATGTTTTGTGCTGTCTTTATTTTTATCTATTGTCAAGTGTGACCTTGAAAACAGACTGTTATATTAAACCAAGTTGAACTATAATAGTTCAATTCAGCTAAGTGAAGGCAACATTTTTACAGCAATGATTTTAAGTCTGCAGAGTCCTAGTAAACACTTCTTAGAAGGAGTACAGATCCCTTCATAAGTGAATTTAAGTATACTGACAAAAATTTGGTATTAATATTTAACTTTTATAGATACTTTTGAGGAAGTCCATAGATCCTAACAATCTAAAGCCTGCATCTGAAAAATCATCATTTAGTGTAAAGGGTTCATGTTAGGTAGTACCTGAATTACAGAAAAACTCTTAAAGCTCTCTTTCTCTCCTTATCAAAAAATCTTGATTTAGGAACAGTAAGCAAAAATTACATTTAGCAACACTGAAAATGAACATTTTGAGGTGCCGTTCCTAAGTTATTAGCTTGTGTTTCCAGCTGGTACTCTAAATCACAGTATCCTTCAGTTCATTAAGTAACCAATCCAAATCCCTAGCATTATAGCTATAGTTCCCCTTGCAGTTCCTGGTTAAAGAAAAAAATTAAATATCTGAATGTCCATAATGGGACCTTTTTCTGGCAAGGACTTTCTACCTAACTTAAGCTTCATCTGTTACCTGAAAAGTTTGCCCTCTTTCAATTCTCCTTCCTAGAGCATCATAAAGCCAGTTAACTCAGTTTAATACTGATTAGGATACAGTTACTGATTAAAATCTAACCCTAGTTTCTTTCTACATTTCTAAAAGTCTTAAAGGGCTAAATGGAAAACACTATCCTCATATTGACTCAAGAAAAGAAAAGTGATTTATAAAAAGTCACCCTTTCCAATCCTCTTGCGTGATAATTAGCCTAACATTAGAAGAGTGCTGTGGGAAACATTCATTCCAAGCTGAACCACAAAAATACGAAGTAGCCCTCTAGGGAGATGGACTTCTCTCTGCAAGCTTGTGTTGGAAAAAAAAAAAACAAACCTAAAAACAAGAAGATAGAAGCAGGACTTCACTTTCTTTCTAGTGGTAGAAAGATGAGTTATCACATAACCATGAAGAACTTTCACCTGAAGAAGCAAAAACTGAAGCCACACAGAGTTGCTTTCTTTCTGCTGAAAATGCTGCTGTCACTGTCATCAGTGATGACAATTTTACTTAGTAGTACAGATTCAATGCATGAACAAGTGAATTCCTTAAAAAATGTGTTACCCTGAGTCCACATTCAAAGTGTATTTTTAATCTGTAGATCTCCAAGTTCTTTGAAAGGACAGTATTTGTCATTAACAGCAAACTAAACACCATGAAATGATTAACAACTGAAATCTCAAGTTCCCACCACAAACAGTATCACAGACTGGTCTGGTCATCGTGCTCTTCTATGCCCCTAGCATGGTTCACCAAACAGTTTTCAAACCAGTTACTACCACCTGCTATACCTGCTACATAAAACATGTTTGTATGATTGGATTAGTTGTTCCTATAATCCCACATACACCAGCAATCCCTGAGACTTGATTTTTCGTTTTATTTTCATAATGTAAGTATGCATACATATATGGATGTGTGTGTACACAGACACACATGGTTTAGAAAGTAAATCTGAATGCAAGCACAGCATCCACAGTACATCACTCAAGGCTCTTACCTTCAGGTTTACCTAAGAATAAAAAAAATTTGGATCAAGTGAAAAATTAATACAAATCTCAAAAGAAGTGCCAAAAACTAAATTCCTAACAATTAGTCAACACTAAATCCAAAGAGAATGATATCCCCCGTCTCCAACTGAACCACGTTTCTTTCCAGAAAGGAATATTTTCATATGAAATTAGAGTTACTCAGGAAAATTTACTATTCACCACATTACTATACAAAGTAGTGTATATTACATCCAGTGGTGCTGCTGAAGGACCTCCCTGTATTACCAATACAGCAGCAGTTGCTCTCTCTCACTTTTAGGTTTAGGTTGTTAGCAGAGAACAAGAAACATCAATCACAATAAAACAGCATTTGCTGCAAGATGTGGAGCCTGCATGTGCTGCTCTCCCTGAACTCACCATAGAAGTGTCCGAAGCCCATGCTGATGGCAATCACCAGCGCCAGGATGATGCATCTGTTCAGGCCGCTGCTGAACTGGCGCTTGTGCTGCTCCTCCCGGGGCGGCTCCGCCTCGGGCTCTGCCGGTGCCGACCCCTCGGGCTCTGAGCTCGACACCCCGCGCTTCCTCGGGCGCCGCTTGCGCACTGCGGGGCTGCCCTGGCTGCTGGTTTCATCACTGCTGGACTCCTCAGGGCTGGCCTGAGATGAAAAAACTGAAAAGCAACATATAGTGGTGGTTAAAATGCATTAAATATTGTGTTAAAGAGCAAACTGAGTATCAAGAGCCATAATACTTATGCAAAATAGATTTGGCGTTTATCTTTGAGTACATTAATAAAACAAAATCAAAATTCTAATGATATTGTTTGTGCTGGAAATTATGCAAGTAATGCGTGCTCTCTAACGATAAAAATTAATTTTTTAAAGCTAAATGATAGAGAATCAAGAAATCATCAGTAAAAAGCTGTATGGCACTTCCCCATATCTTACCATTCACCTCATTATGAAGTGTTTCAGTCAATCCTGCCTCCTAAAGCACCTACATGTACTACCCCTGCAAATTCTTATGAGGTAGAAAGACTAAGAATTCAGTTTTCCTTCTGTTGCAGCTATTAAAACTGAAATAATTAATAATGAAGGAGCAATATAAAGGCTTGATAAAAGAAGGCCTCCTAAAGACAGACATGGTTTTGTTACCTACTCTCAAAAAATTTCATTCTGTGATCTGCATTTAACTTCAGACAAAATTACATTAAAGTTTCATTAATGTAGCTATTAGAAATACTCAAAATCAAGATACAAATTTATTTAAATATGCAATTTTGTTTAAATATCTACCATATACTATCTGTTAAAATCTTTACCCACCTTTCAAAAAAGCAATTTTCAACCACTACTGCACAGGATAAAAACCACTGAATTACTTTTCTGTTTGTTCTTTCCCAACACTCTTCTATTACCTGACTGAAATTTTGGTAAATTGGACAAGATTTGAGACAAGAACAAATTCTAACCTCAAAAAATACCTTTTATAGAATTTTTGCAAAATCATGTTAATCATACCCTCTGTATGTTCATGTTCCAATGGCCCAAAAGCCACATATTCTAACCAGGAAAATATCAGAGCTGTAATTGCTTGTTCCCATTTGTACAAATGTTTGCTGCATATACTGTAAATAGATTTATGTAATCCAGTATGTAAGTAATTATCATTTAATCTCCCTCCTTTAAAAGTGTAACTTTTATGTGCAAGGTAAATATAATGGGGAAGCAGAAGTAGGGTGGAAAAGTAGCTTTCAATTCACATGTCTGGAATAAATTCAATGGGACCAGTGAAGTCTCCAGCCATGACAAAGTGCTCCAGCTTGGACACTAATTTTGCCGCTGAGAATCACACAATGCTAATGCCCCTCCTAGAAATGTGGCTGTTCATTCTCATATCAAACACCATTACTCAAAATGTAAAAATACAAATACAGAGAGACTGTTCTTGAACAGTTCACAACTGAAAAATCATTTGTTTGAGCAAAGCCATGCACACATCACTGAGCAAACAAAATGCTGAGCAGTGTTACCTATTATCTATAAAATGCATTACTACTTAAGAGTCTTCATTTGAAATAAATTACAGCTTAATAGAAGTGAATGCATCAAGCCCAGAAAAGATCACCCATTAGTATCTGGAACACTTCTCATTTCTAAGTCCATGGACAAGCAACATGACAGACTATGAAAGACAATTTCCTCCCTTAATAAAAAACTCTATTTTACTATATCAGTCAAATCAGATCAACCAAGCAGACTTGTCAATAAAGACAAATCACTTAAACAGTGACTCAGACATGCAGACACTTAAATTAATTTATATAGTTTAGTAGAGAAGGACACTATTTTATAATCAGTCATTTAAGCAGGTGCATACTTCCCAGTCCTGGAAAACAAAGGAAAACATTCAGAATGCACCTAGAATGCAGAGGTCAGACATTATAGAGAAATATACAGGGTAGACTTAGTAAGAGGTATTATTCTTGCTCATCTGTGGGGTTTTTAGGGTTCTTCAACAACCAAAGAAGCTTACACACATGGAATACAAAAGTGGTTAAGGAACAAGCTGCTTCTAGCCAAATGAGAAAATTCTTGGACATACACTGGACAGCAAAGAATAGGAAAGAAAAACAAAAAAAGACAATCAGAAAGAAAAATGCTGTGAGACACTTAAAGCCATTCATAAGCACTTACTGGCAAACTGTCAACAGCAATCACACTTTCAAGCAAGAATGACACTGCCTTACAGCTGCTGTAAGAGCTCAATACAAATTGCTCTAACAGTATCAGGATGGAAAGGACTACAAAGAAAACAAAGTGTGACCACAATAGCAGTCCTAATTCTTAGTTTCTACTGTGATTTTGAAGTGTCATATCTACACCAGAAATCAGATTAGGTCAATTGACATTTCTGCACAGATACAGACAGCTCAGATACAGTTGACTGCAGCATATGGGTACTTCTGCTGGCTGAATGTCATTCATGAAGCAATGTTATTAAAACATATTTGTTTGCATGATGAAGACAGCCTAAATAGGAACTGGTTTGCAAAAAGAAGTGGCAGAAAATCCTTGTAGAACACTTTAGTATCTACATAAGGAAGAATCTGAGGCTCATCCTTTTTCAACACAAAAGAACACTCAACAGGAAGTGGATGGCAAAGATTTCTGTTGCCACTTTTTGCCACTGCTAAAACATTGGCATTTAAAATAATTGCAAAAGTACTCCTGACATTTTCTGCAATACCTGATCAATTGAATGCACAGCACTAAAGGCCATGCTGAAATCAGCTTAAATCAGAAGGAAGAAATTCTTTTTGCCAGGCACATGTAGGCTTGGAATCCAACAAGAGCTATCCATTTAAACAATCAAACGCACACATTAAAATATATTACAAACCTTACTGATGTCTGCTCCAAACCTACATGCAAGGTTAACATCTTTTTAAAGAAGCACATAAGACACTGACAGCTTAGCCAAGTTCTTCAGTGAGGATTGGCTTTCAGCATCTGTCTAGAATATGACTACTACAAGATCAAGTCAGATTGCTATCAAAAATGGTAAGAACACTCCATGCAAGCCATAAGCAATCAGCTTTGCACAAGCTGATCACATTTAATCACACCACCTTGGAAAGGAAGACTGCGAGATACATGCTCTTTCACCTCATTTCCCCATCCCCTTACACAAGCAGGAATCTTCCACAGCTTCTCCAGCCAACTGACTTTGGTGTACAAAAACATAGGGGGGAAAAGAAAGGCAGTTTTAGAACTCATCCCCAAAAGAAAAAACAAAGTCAACTAAATTTTAATTTTTAAGTCAGATTCCCAGAAGACTTAAAGAAGGCCACAGCTCTGTTACAAATCTTCCCTGGTTATAATTAGATGCTAAGCTGTCACTTTCTGTTTCCAGTTGATACTATACAGGTATGCAAACATTGAATGATGCTGTATCCTACTCTAAGATAAAACAATTTTATCTTAAAAAAAAATTAGGTAAAATCCTGCTTGTATAATAAACTTAATTTGAAAGATAAAAATCAGCAATACAAAGGCGTCATAGAGCCAAAAAGAATTACAGAGGAAGACTAGAGAACTAGAGAAGAGCAACACAACAAAGTTTTTTGCTTGTATTTGTTGGGATTTTTGTTTGTTCTTCTTCACTGGACAATTATTCATCTCCTTCCTCCCGATTATAATGCACTGCTTATTTCAGCCAAGCACAGGGAGTATCTTAAATATCTAAATATACACTACATAGCTATGAGGGTGGTACAAAGTTTCTGTAGTCATACTGCTTACTCCTCATGGCACCAAAAATCATCTCCCACTTGCTAGTCATTTATGCTAACTCTATATAAAGCCCAAAATATTGCCAAGAGAAAACCTACAATTATTCTGTGAACTAAAAGTCATTTTAATTCCCCAAGATATGCTACAAATTAACTTTCTGTTTAAAATAGTGAATACTTAATGAGAGAGATTGCTTTCAAATAAAAAGATTGCAGACATACATTTATACAAAATTGTAGAGGGCATCTAGAGTTTTTATAGAGATTTCAAATACTTGGACATATACTCAAGAAAAATCATTATTTTTTTCCTCTCTCCACAAAAAGTGGGTTCCCTAACCAAAGATTGGTTTGAACTTTTTCCTGGTAACATTTTTGCACACAGCTGCTTAGGACTGTATTGCTCTTACCAGTTTCTACATGGGAAAATGCATATTGACTGCTAGAGGAGGAACCCATGTTAAAATCCTCTGAACTTTGAGCTTCTTCACCATCAGCTGGAGCTTCCTCCTGACTCTGCGTTTCTTCAGGTTTTGGAGCTTCAAGTGTAACAATGTCAGAATCATCGCTAATAGCTCCAATGCAGGACACATCATCAGGAACTTTTTCTTTACTTCCCTAGGGAAACGGACAATGTGAGAATTATTCAGACACATAAAACAAAGTAATAAAAAAAAAAAAACAAGAATTGTTGGAACTTTAGGAAAGGAAAAAATTGTGTCTTTATTTTAATGCCTTCAAAACATTTCTTGCCATTGAGATGGGGCATACAGAAGCTTCTGAGTAATGTAATCTGTAATGTAATTTACCTCTGGAGCTGTCTGAGTTTCCTCAAAACCAGATAGAGTATTATCTACTGCTGGGATCTCTTCATCATTGTTGCACTGAGCTACATGAATAAAAAGAGGAAATAAATAAGCAAACAAATATGGGATTAAAAGCAGCAATGACATATTATGCCCACATAATATTAAAAAACAGTGTCACAATGTAATTTTTTAGAAGTACAAGCATTGATGGTTCCTTCCAAATTATTTGATCTATTATACAACTAAATGGACAAAATGAAAGACATTAATTTCACATATTTCAGGAAAAAATACTTGTATAAAACTCATGACTGAATATTTTCTATAGCACTGGTGAAGTAAATACCCTTACAGAGGTCCACAAAATACACAAAAACCTATTGAAAATACTAATTTTGTGTCAATGCTACAACAAATACTGACCTATTTCATTAAACTGCTCCTCTTTTAATATCTTACCTTGCAAATCAATTGCTTGCTCCTCTTCTTGCAAAGAAACATATTCTTCTGAAACAAACTCATGGTTATCATTTGTGCTTCCATTTTCTGAGGTCACTGTCTCTATGTCAGAACCCTGAAGAGTTTAAATGGACATTACAGTTATTGGGATTTCCAGTAAAGTAGGAAGAAAGGGTTACAAAGAAAACAGAATATTACTAATAAAACCAGAAACAGAAAAACTGAGCCTTTAAAACTGAAGACAGCTTTGAACAAAGAAAAGCAAGTGAAATACCAAGTAATTAACTAGACTGAAACAAGTGTTAGTGTGCAATACTCATAACTGAGGTTAAAAAAAGTTAGATGAGGTCAATTCTAGGGGGAAAAATGACAGCAATTTAGGCATTAATTAACAACTACACCAAGTATTTTAAATAACTATTTTTATTGTCTTTATTAGACCCACTTATTAAATGGAATTTAGAGAAACAGTAGGTTTTGAATATGGCATCGAATTTTTACTCACTCAGTAGGTCCATCTACTGTACACAAACACACACACCCTCCCAAAACCAGAACTCTCAAGCATACCAACATGAGTTCTAATAAACAGTACTACCAGGAAAAACTATATGGAACCTCATCTCAATTCCAGCCAGAAATTTTGAAAGGCTGCTTATACAGTACATCTCTGACACCTCAAAACCAAATATTGATACAAACTCTATATTGGATTTCTGTCTTTAATCCAGAAAGAAGCCTTCGTTATTAGTCAGCTGCCAGTCAGCAACACCAGAGAACAACAGGAACTGGAAATAAACAACAGCAGGAGACTGCAGGGTATTAAAGGCAAGCAATATGCTTGACAATTCCAAATATTTAATCTTTATATTGTAATTTTTGTTTAAAAGTACTGATAAGATACCAGTAAGGCTATTAGCAAACCTCAAACATGCAAAACAGAACTGAAAAATACTAAGTGACTCTGATCCATAAATAAGTTGTGCTGTTTTTGTAAACAGAGATAGTTATTTTTGCAACAGCAGGTGTGAAATTACAGTAGCAGCAATACTTCCAGATCAGTTTCCCTGGATGTCTCATTTCAGACTCAAGCAAACATGTATGCTTTTGTTTTTATGGAGACTGTACTTCAGGAAGATTAGAAACCTCAGAAAGAATTGCATAAGATACATTCTATAATCATGTTACAAAGTTATGTTTCTTTTTAAAAGGCTGCAAAAATTAACTGCTTTGCTAAACTGTTACACACTTTGTATCTTTTTAAATACTTAGTATCTTTTTTCTTTTGCCTGCATAAGCATCACAACTTCGATTTGATGTGTTTTGCATCAAAATGCATCAAATGCAGAAATTCACCCCTAATTTACAATTTACTATAATCTGAATGAAATCTCAGGAAACAAAATACGAATTTGGGGTTTTGGGGTTGGTTGGGTTTTACAGACAGGTATACAGGTTTATTATGTGACAATTATTCTCTGGTGTGACAGAACCACTACATTCATTTCTTAATTTGTGAATAAGAGGAATAACAACATTTCAGTTTCCCCAGGCTCTACAAGAAGAAAAACATCAGGAGTATTGCTTAAGACAGATTACAGTTTTAGCTAAAAACCCAAGAAAATGGGCTAGCTGAGTACATGGTAAGCCATATTTTTCTTAAAAACAGAGTCAGGTGTGAATGCATGAACTCTCTGATACACTTCATCTAATCCTGGACCTTCACCACTCTTCCATTTCAGCAATAGCAAAGAGGCCAAAAAAAAGAGATTGTCACCTCCCTACCCTCCTACACAAAATTAGCAAGTCCTTTCTTAGGAGCAGTCCAACAATGCACAGCACCACTTCTCTGTCCAAAGCCCACACTCAGTCCAGCACACACAGCTGCCAGTACCCTGCAGCCACAGCCTGGAAAATGGCCACTTCTTGCACCTCAACTCACCGCAAAACATATCCAGAAACAGATTCCACTGTGTCATCATCAATACAGGTCACAACAGTATGTGAGAAAATAATACTGCAGTACTCCAAATGTATCTAACCCATAGTTCTACCCCTGCCCTAAATATCCAAATCAATTCACTGCTGTATACAGAAGTCCATGTGCCCCCTCCCTGGGTAACAGCTGTGTGAAGGGTACCTGGCCATCCCATCCATTCTACTTTCTTCATGCTCAGATTCAAAGCTGTCCTACCAGAAGAATGCTAATTATGACAGCTCTCAAACACCAGTGTTTCCCCATTTTTATTTCACTCAATCAGGGATGAATAACTGGGAACACAAAATCTCCATGTCACAGAAATCTGTTCTGCTTTGGTTAGACAAATCCCAGCCATCCTACAATCTTGTGTTATGTTAACTTATTTAGACTGCATAATTCATTTGCAGTTACAGTGTAAAATAACCATCCCAAGAATGAAAATAAAGTCTGCACTTCACAGCTGAATAACCCAACTGCTGAACTCAACCTCTAAATCCTTTCATTTTTATCTGAACTCTGTGAGTCCAGCAGCCTGTGCACTCTCATAGGCCACTTGGCCTTGAGGAATGGAGTGCATGAGTTTTATGTTTCTTTTGGTGACAAGATTCCCAATCTGTCACCCAGCCCAAAACAAGGAAAAGAAGTTTTAACCATCTCTTAAATACCAGTTTGCTGTCAACAGAAATGAAAGCATGGCCCAATATTTATAAACTTCAAACTGTATAACTTGTGACATGGAAGTGTCAAAACATGAATGCCATCACATGTTTGTAATAGCTTGGTTCCAAGTTACCCCTTTTCATTATAATCTGCAAAACAAGGGAATGTGCAGTGAAGGACAAAGGACAGTTGATCACTATGCATGATCTTCAGCCATTTTTTCCTACTTTCCTCCTCTGAATGAAAATCTCACATACAACTCCTTGAAATTTTTTGCCCTGAAATTGGGGCAGGCAACAAGTAGATGCAGGCAATAGGGAAGTGTCATTCCAGGAAAACTGTCAACACATCTGTCCTGAGGATTCTGGCTCAACGGCCTCCTCAGTTTACAAGACAATGTTAAATACTTAAGAACCAAACCAAACAAGCAAAACCAACCCACCCATCCTACACACACACACATCAGCCAAGATCTGAAGAGATAGAAAAATCCTCAGGACTGAAGGAGGAAAGGATACTGGATATCCACTCTACCAGGAAGGGCTTCTCAGAGGTTCTGAGCAACTCAGGCCCACCTTGTCCACTGTGGGAAAGGAAGATAAAACACACTTCTATCTACATTCATGTGTCTACACCTGAGCAGGTATTGAAGGCACTGTTTCAATCACCACAGTCAGTGCAGTCATTTGATCAAACCTAAGTGCTGACCCTGACATAAGACTCCTGCTCTCCAGACTCCACTGCAGCATTGATTTCATTCACACAATGCAAACTTTGAAATCAACATCAGATCCAGACACCTGTCCCATTATAGTCATGGAATATACACTTGTCCCTACCCTTATTTTCTGTAAGGAAGACTATATAAGGACAGAGAACTGTTCCTGAACAGCCACTGCTGAAATTAGGATCAGATACCTTAGTGGTAGAAAAAACTCAGGGAAATCATGGCATCATTCCTTTCTGTACAAGATCTTTTTCCTGCTCAGTATTTGCAACTTTGTTTTGGTGAGGGTACAGATTTATCAGGAAAAGAAGAAATATATTAGCAACAACAGACAAGTTACACAGAATGCTAATGTTTTAAGGCAGGATGGAACAGAAGAATGCATGCCACTGAAATTCTACCAGCTCTTCAAAGTAAAACCTTTGCAGAAAAAAGAAATTATTTTCAATATTAAAATTTATATCAACTATAGTTAAAGTATCCCTTTTTTAAATAGTAGTTTTATGATTTACTAATAAATTTCTCTTCTATATTCTCTGTTGGTATGCAAGATCCATACCAAACCAAGATTACTAAGCTGAAATAATATTTTACTGCATATAGATAGCCTCAAACTGACAGAACTTTATTATTGTGAAACTGGGTACCTCGTGATTGATGACAGTCCAGCCACAAGATGAATCACTGTCACTGGAATTTTCAGACATCTTCAAAGCACGCTGCAGGTAAAAGTAGACTCTTTTAATATGTAAGGCACATAATTTCACTGCAATATTGAAAAAAAACCAAAAACAGAAGAATGGAAATCACGATGTTACAGAACAGTATACAAACACACAAAATGGTATTCTAGAATTGAGAGGGGGGGGGGAAACAGAATAAAAGTTGAGAAAGAAAATATATTCTGTTGTACTTATTTCCTATTATCTTCTTTATACTTGGAGCAAATATAGCTTTGCTAGGTAAATGCCTATTTCAGCCAGCCAAAAAGCTCTTAGACTAGATAGACACACACACATGAGGCTAGTCAATAATCAAAGTTAAACAGTGATGCTATAGGCAAATTTTAAGACATGACTCAGTACATTAAATAATTTCTGTTTTGTTACATGCACAGAAACTACAGTTTATTCAAGAAAAACATTGTGAGATTTTTTTGAGAAGAAACAGATTGGGATCTCCTGGAATTAATTTTCTTCAGCTAGTGGGCAAAAACAATGTTTCCTGTTCCTTTCACTATTTTCAAGTACTTTCAAATACACTGATTCTGAGGAAAATTGAGAGAGTATCTGGCAACTACAAAAACAGAATGAAAATAACCCAAAGTATACATATTTTTTTCAACAATATTACCAGATGACAGGTAGCCATTTTCAGAAGACAACAAACCAGCAGATGCTGCCTGTTTATCTTTTCTCCCTTTTAACAGGAATTTACCATGAATACAGAGTATTCATTATTGTAGCATATACAGATCAACTTTTCAAGTCCTTAATTAGCAAAAAGACTTTATAAAGAAGTTTAATGTATTTCTTGTTCCTTGAAATAAAAATATATCAAGTTATTATATAAAATTTACTATGGATTGATCTTGGTGGAAAAAATCTTCCCAAAACTGAACAATTTCCAATCAATTGCCTGTTGTATCACGTATCAACATAATAAAACAGCCAAAGAAACCATGGTTCAATAAAGCTTTTATCACAGAATTTCAGACACCTGCTTCATTTCCCACTCTTAGTTAATTCCAGTAAGAACACAAAGGAAGGAATCTATGTGTTTAACTTTATTTGCTCTCTACTTTATTATCAATCCTGTCTTCACTCCCAGTTTCTCAACTCAGAAAATATACACAAAACTTTGAATGAGAACATCTAAGTACACCAGTGTGGCTAGAAATTGGCAAAACAAAACATAAAACTTTAAATTCCATTTAGCTTTCTCACAAAACACAGTAAACATGTGTCTCATATCTCTGCATTATAGTAGCTATTGCATGTTTTTCTAAGATAAAACTATTTTCTCATCAACTTTAACTAATATCTTTACAGTTCCTCTGTAAAAAAAAAAAAAGGCAATGGTGACAATTGCAGCAACAGTTTAAGCACAAATATCCAACTTAAGTATGAAACATAGAGAGAAACTGAATTCCTATTTTTTTTTATAAAGTCCTACTTTGAATACGGTTGTCATTTTCCTGTAGATACTTTTCTTCCTTCACTACTGCTTTTCCTGGAATCTCAACCAGGGAATGTCAGGTTGGGAGGGGGTGGAAAGAAATCTATTTTGGTTTGAGTTGTTTGGGTTTTTTAAATCACACTGCATACAAGGATCAATTTTTTATTTTTAAATCATACTTCTTCAATCATCAAAATAACAAATGCCCAAATGGCAAAGACTCAGTTCTAGAATTTACATGTGACAACAACATCTACTTGCTGTCATTAATTACTCGAAATTTGACCTGGCATCCAGTAGCAGCAGCATTCCTTTCACAGGAAGGTAACTCCCAGCACCAGAACTCATCTGTTCAGAAACATCACTGGCTACCTTGCAAAATCTGAAGTGAATTTTTAAAAGACAGCTTCAGGCTACCAGTACAGTTTGATGCAAGTGCATCTACAGATTTTGAAAGACCAAATTGTAACAGCAGACTCTGTGCTGGACATTGTAACATCTCTCTTCCTCCAGCTAACTCAGCATTTTACCCTGGGCCCTGGCTATCACAACAGAAACACCATCCTGCTCTCCCTCCCCAGCTACAAAACACACTGACAGGTAACTGAGCACTGCAGAAACCCAAATGTATCTTCTGTTCTGAACATACAACCATGGCTTTGGGTTCCACTTAAACATCTGTCTTCCCATCCCAAACAAAAGCTTCAGGACCTACGTGGGTACTGGCATCATCAAAATATATTAAAGAAACAGACAGAGAAACAAGCAGACAAACAATCATCATTTTCTCTTGCTTGCTTGTCTTGATAAGTGGCCTTGAGTTAAAAGTTATTTATTTGTATTCAACCACAATATTACACTAATAGTGCATATTTAGCTGCATACAAGTGACAAATCACCAAAATAGAAAAGCTTTTAATATTAAGAAAAATAATGGATTTTTTTAAAAAATAGTAATTAGAAGAACACTAAGGTTTATGGTTAGAACTGCCAAATTTAGCCAAATTACAATAGATAGATAGCTTGGCATCAGACTGAAGGGCATTTCTAGGGTAAATGTATTCCTACAGGTACATTCAGCAAACATACACATGTAAAACAGTTACCAAAATTAAAGCATTTTATTACTTAATTTTGATCTTTTAGATTTAAGTATCTAAAAGCTTTAATAAAAAAATTACCTGGGTACAGTGTTCCTAAACTTCAATCATCAGCTAAACAGCTTATTTCTGTCACAGATTAATAAAATGCACATAATCATAACTAAATCCAAGGTCAAATTCAATTCCTTAAGTACACTGAAAAACAGAAGACTAATTTGAACCCAATGGCTAAACTGACCCACTCACAAAATCTTCTCCAGTTTGGTTCTCTCCAAATGACAAAGACCAACTAAGAACCAGTATACTTTTCCAACCAGCCTAAAGGGGCTGGAAATGCTGCCACCATCTTCCTGAATGCAACTTTTTAGAAAAAGATAGCTTTGAGCAGGAATTAGAAAGACATAAAGTGTTTAAACTTCCTAACGAATCAAGATGACACTAACGGATTCTAGTCCAATAACAGCAGGGATAACTGGAGGATACCCTACAGTGTTACACATGTCCTCTACGCCAGGCCAAGCCAGAAGGAAAGACTGGGGAGAAAAACCCAACCAAAACCACATCCCATGGTGAACTGGTTTTGTATGCTCACTACATACCTTCATTGCCTCTTCTGACATCACCTTCCTAATTTCTATCTGGACAAATTGAAGACTAGTTATATTTAGATTCAGTTTGTATGTATTTGAGTGCGGGGGCAGGAATTCAAAAGTGCAAACTATTTTCTTATCTTTAGTGAAATATAAGCCAGAAGCATAAGGTGTAAAAGCTTACAGCCGTATGTATTGTTGATAACACAATACCAAGTTATCCCAGATATGTATATAAAAATAAATCTGAGATCCCACACCCTATTTATCCATTGTGAAGCATAATAAACACCAGTCTTAAAAAGAAGAACCACTCCAGTGTAAATAAACCCTTAAGCTCCATCATCTAAAAAAAGGATTTCCTAGACTGAAAAAAATAACCTTCAATAAGCATTGACAAAGATGAGTAATGGGTACCAAGAGGAATATGAATGTGTTTTACAGAGTTTGCTGTGCTGTCATTCCAAGTAAAAACTCTCGGTTCTCTTCTACAGCGGATTCTTTGTTGCACAACAGAAATAAAAACAGGTTCAGTGCTATTACACTTCAGAGTGCTCATGGAAGTTTCTTATTTCTACTAAGTGGTAATTTCTCCCCCTAAGTAACACTCTTCTCTAAGAATATATTTAGCAACACATACTGAATACAGAATATTTCCTTGTTATGAAGGAAAGACAAACGTGGCTTCTTCAAGCCAGACTCTAGCAAGGTTGGGCATTCCCTGCTCAGTCCCTGCCCCTGTCCCGCGCAGGTGTTCCTGGAGCGCACCTGAACCAGAGCGCGGCTCGGCGCCAGCACACTTAAAGCGCCAGGACACTGTTTATGAAACAGAGCACCTTGCATCAGCCGGCGAGGCAGCGGCAGATGATGACAGAGAAGGAAGTTGGCAAACACCAGAGCCCAGGGCCGGGGCCGGCACGGCGGTGCCCACCGGCCGGAGCCCGCTCGCCCCTCGAGCAGCGCCGCCGCCCCGCGCGGCCGCGCTCACCCGCTCCCGGCACCAGGAACGGCCGCCCCGGCCCCGGCGCTCCGGGCTCTGCCCCGCTCCGGGCGGCCCCTCCCCGCGGCAGCCGCCGCGCCCCCCGGAGCTCCCCTCGGCCGGCCCGGAGCGGGGCGGCCGCCCCCACGGGCCGGTCCCGCCGCCTACCTGAGCGCGGCCCTCGCGGGGCCCGGCACGGACGAGGGGCCGCGGCCGCAGCCGCCGGTGACGCCGTCACAAACAACCCGGCCCGCCCGGGCCGGCGCCTGCGCGCGGGGCGGCGCCCGCAGCACCCTGGCGAGCGCAGTCCGCGCCCCGCCGCGGCCCGGCGGCCACAGCGCCCACAGCGGCCCGGGCACCGCAGCGCCCGGTCCGCCCCGCGGCCCGCCCCGGGCACCGCCATGGCAACGCCGCGCCGCCGAGCTCGGGCCCTGCGGCCCCGCGGCCCGGGAGCCGTTTGTGCCGGGCGGGGGCTGCTCGCAGGCCCCTTCAGCGCGAGGAGCCTTGTGCCGCTGTAATCGCGGCAGAGCCGGCCACAGGGACAGTCTCTGAGGAAACATGCTCAGTTACATGCCAGTAACGCTTGTTCTAAGGGAAGGGAAAAAACAACCACCACCCTCACTCCCCAAAATCCAAATAAACAAAGCCCCACCAAAGAACACCCCAGAACATGCCCCCCGCCCCCCCCAAAAAAAAAAACCAAAAAAACCAAAAACAAACAAACAAACAAAAAAACCCAAAGGTGCCGTATATGGACAACAAATCTTTGATTCTTCTAGCCTTGGGTGGAAAAACTCTGATGACTGGGAATTAATTATTTTGGAAAATCTCCTCATAGCATGGGCCCTGCTGCTTCAGGAGAAACTGTCCCAAGAGCCACTTGGACTGGGGATATGGCAGTTCTTAATTCCCAGCCACGCTCCTAGACCACATCTCATCAACAGGAACTGTAGGAACAGAGCAGATCCAAAATCACAGAAGTTTAGACCCCAACAGTTCTCTGATACTGGAACAAAAATAAAAGGGACATGACAACAGACCTCATTAATAAAGTCAATGTCTTACTCAAGTTATATCTAAGGTAGTGTCAGCCTCACATCTTGCATGACTGAGAAACAAAGGAAAAAGCCTTCACTGCACCTCTGAAGAGCAGCAGGTTGTAACTGGCTTGCTCAGGAGCACTGAGGAAGGAGGTACCTTACTCAGAGAAGTTTTACGTCAGGCTCATCAATACAGCATTAGAGCACTTTCCATAAACAGACCAAGAAGTACTTGTCATATGATAACCCACTCCCTACAGAGGAAAAAAAATTAAAAATAAAATAAAATACATGCATGTGAATGTGAGTGAGGAAGCACAGTCACTTGTACATTTCTCTAGGGCTCTAGTTTTCATATTCCTGTATCTTCAAAAAAAAGGTCAGAACTAAATCAAATCACCCACAGTCTCACTCTATTCTTACTCTCATTCATATTTTTAATACCCATACTAACTATTTCTGCCACACATATTAAGATATTTTCTACGATCAGGATTATCACTAATGCATAATCTCAAATTTTACTATCTTCCATAGTCATTATGAGTCAAATTACTACTGTCCACAGTTTACTACATAAGGTCAAAGTGTTAAGTTCCTCACTCTCCACCATGCATGTATTTCAATACACATCTTGAGCAATATTTGCTCTGACCACAAACTGTTACAAATTCGAAATGCTTTTCCCTGTTAGTTGAAAGGCTAAAATGGGTTGGATAAGATGTATCTTTGTCCCATGGCCAGTGTCTCTTGTCCTTAGCCCTCACTTCGCCTCAGTAATTGTAAAAATAAAACAGTAATATCTGTAAGTATAGCATTACACTCAACTGAGGCACTCAAACTGCTGCACTGCCTTCCTTCCAGCTGTAACAAAAAAGTATTTTTGGCCCCTTCCAGTGCAATGCAGCAGGCAGCAGCTACCCCAGGCATTTCTGACTCACCTCAGCACTCAAGGCTCTAAGCAAAACAGAAACAATGCCTGCCACCTTCTCCCTGATACACTATAAAATTTGCACATAATATATATCTGCATGATAAATACTTTATTATAAAGACAGAAATCAGTCATAAATGGTATTCAGGAAAGAGACTGATGCAGAAAATTCAGAAGTCTGCTAAGACTGCTACTGAAAGAAGTAGTTGAAATGGTCCCAGTTTGGAAAGAACACTTAACAAAAAGGAACTGCTTCAAGTCCAGGGTTTCAGATTGTCAGAGTAATACAGAATGCTAACAAAAAGCAAAAATATGACAACTTTGTATCAAAATTATATAAAATATATCTAACCATGTTTAGAATACTATACTTTCTGATAATATATCCAATCTTTTACCAATTTCATAAGTGTTCTGAGTGAAACAGAAAAATGTCTAGGTAACACACTGACGAGAAGTAAGACTCCTCCTCATGTCCTGAAAGGCATCAAAGAGCTTCTTTTATATATATTTATATATAATTTTTTTTTAATTAAGAACTTTGCACTGTTCCTTGAATTAGATGTCGAATCTTCTCAGCATCTTTTTCTATATTTTTATTTCTAGGATCAATCTTGAGAGCTGCTTCATAATCCTGAAGACCTAATATAGACACATTCATAAGAATATCAATCAATAATGCAAGAGCATCCTCTTTAGCAACTCACTGGAAATAATTACTCCCCAGTCATATGCATAAAGTATTGATCTTGAGATTGGCCTTAAGTAAGATGGCATCAGAATGACATTAGTTTAGCTTCCATCAGTAAATTTATATTTTGTTTATCTTATTTTACAAAACATTTTAGTGGAAACACTCTACCACATAAACATTTTCAAGGTTTAAAACATGAAAATAGAGCCTCTTCATTCATGTACATATACATCTATATACGTGTGTGTGCATGTGGGGACTGTTCTAAAGTGTTCTGCAGAAGAGAGGAAATGATCCTGTGTGAAAATAAGAACGAAAAAGACATGAACTGTGAAAGCTAGATCTTGTGGGGAAAAAAAACAAATCATGAGTACAGGAAGTAAAATCTTGCCAACATTAGTCTTTTTTATAAAGTTTCAAAGTGCAAATGAAGCTGAAAGGGAATAAACAAGTGATGTCTAAGTAGAAAAAAGTAAACAATGGCCAAAGCTTAGTACTTCAACACCAACATTTTGAATATTCTTCCATTTCTATTATCAGCTTTCACTGTAAATTTGCTTTACAAAACTAATCTGATACTCTTGAGGAACTGAATAGGGACACTGTAAATTCATGTATTTTCACACAAATCACGTGTACTTGATGAATCATTTTACTCATCAATATGAGTTTCCTACCTCATTTTACAAAGAGGTTACTAAGCACTTTACAAGTATTTTAGAAATACTTCAGGTTATTTTAATATCTTCAGTGGAAAAACTCCTTACATTAGGAATGCAATCCATTTTCTCAAACTTGTAAAGACTTTTCAAGTATCCAGTAAATTAAAAAAAAATGTTAAAGAATGTGGCATAAAGGTTCATAACAATTAGACATAGATTGTATATCTCTCCTTCAAAGTCACTCTTGAAAACTTTCAGGTGTGAGGAGCCTCACTGAGCTAAACAGAGTTACTTGCATGTCATTATGAATTCCTGTGCATGTTTTCATAAAACCAAGGCCTCACCTTCAGTGTATAATTCCAGCTGACAAAACGCTGTTCCTCGTCTCACATGGGCTTTCACTCGAGCGTTCTCATTATCAGGAACAGGTGGTGTCAACAGTTCCAGTGCCTTCACAAATGAGAACACCCAAAGTATTTATAAGTAGATTTTCCATAATTTGGGCTTTTTCTAATTTACAAACATTTCTCTTACCTAATTACTATTATTATACAGTGACATAATAACTATTCAAACAGAAATAGAAAATAACTATTCAAATTTAACTATAAATGGCTTGTGAATCTAGTCATTAAGATCATTAATGTATCCATTACCCCAGCTTGGCAAGTACAGTCACATTGCCATGGCTGAAAACTGAAAAATACCATGTTAAATGTTTATTGCAGTCAAATAATACGTTCTATTTTCATATATCATATAACCTATCATGCTATCAAAGAAAAAAAAAGGTAGCACTAAAAAAGCACATGTGTTTTAGTACTAGTTACTGGAAAAAAACAAGACCAAAGCCCCCCAAGTTTCAAGACTCAAGTCCTTATTAGTTCAAAAAATAATAATTATTGGAAAACTTTTCCCACATTATTCAGGTGCCATTTGCTGCTAAAACATCAGGACAACACAGCCCTTCTTTAAAAATGTTTTTTAAGGTATCCTGGTATTTAAGGAAGTTTTTTAAGGTATCCTGCTCATCACCACCACTTTGTTTTTTTCCTTCCAACCAAATGAAGCTCACTACTATATAATAGAAAAGGTATGAGTATACTTTTTTTTTGTTTTTTACTCCTCCAAGTTGTGGGCTTTTTCAAGTGTATGTATTGCTACAATATTTTTATCTGTAAAGAAACATACTGACCAATATATGGGCATTTGTCACAACTGTGTGGAAGCCTGGTTTAGGGTTTATTTTATTGTTGTTTTGTTTTAAATTTCTGAAAGTTCATTAATCACTATCAAATTTTAATATTTCACTATGGCTTTATTATATCAATATTGAATTTTAAAACTTTGAATTGTACTAATATGTATTTACATTTACAATTGAGATTATAAATTTATATATATATATAAATTATATAGATTATAATATTATTACATTTAATAATATGTATTTACAGATCTGCTCAAAACAGAAACATCACAGTAACAAATCACATTAATGCATAAGATGACAGCCTGAGCTCCTGGACTTTTATACCTTAGAGGAATCTTCGATAGCTTTGTGTAAATTTCTCAGTTTAAGGTGGCAAGCAGCACGGTTCAGGTACAGGACGGGAAGTTTATTGTTCAGCTTCACTGCAAGGTTATATGCATTTACAGCCCCAAGGTAGTTTCCCATTGCAAACATTTTGCTAAGTATTAAACAAAAAGTGAAACATGCACTTTAAAGAAGTGGATAAATACAAAATAAACACCTACTTATTGTTAACTTACTTTAAAAAATTTGAGGTTTTAGCATCTTTTTCTTTGAAATGCCCCTTTATAGCCTTTTCTGAGAACTACCTGGCTGAAGTTCAGTGCACCTTGATGCTGGCAATAGACAGCTTAGAGATACAAAAGTAGTCGCTGCTTACAAGCAATGAAGAATTGTAAGAGTGGACATATTTATGTAGACCCAGAAGTAATTTTGAAAGCTTTGTATATCTGATTATGACTGCCTAATCAAAGCTTTCTGTATAACACAGCTATATAAATAAACAAAAATTTGTATCAAGTTCCTAAAGTTTATTTTACACAGATGTTTAACCTCTCACTAAAAAAGTACAAATGAAATTAAATCCACTTAGATATAATAGTGCACTGCCACAACTTTCTTCAAAGAAGAATATGCATAATGTGTTTACAATGATTTTGTTCATTATAAGCTTCAACAATTGCATCTCATGATTTATCAGATTCTAACCCCATAAGCTGTCAATAAAATCTGTAGTACAACTACCATGACTACTCTAGACATTCACCAATTCCATCTAGAATAAATAGACTATACCAAAACTGAACACTAGGCAAACATGGTAAAACTAATTAATTTTAATACATCTTCAAGTGGAATGTAACTTACTTTCCTTTATCCTTTAACCAATCTGGATTCTTCTCCTCTTCTTTTAAATCTTCCAGCTCAGATAAATCAGAATTTATTATTCTTCGAGCTTCTGCTTGTTTATGTAGCCACTGTAAATACAAAACGTGCTGTATTATTTCTGAAGAAAAAATTCAAATCCAAAAAAGGATTTTGTTTTCATCTCTTCATTCACACTTATCAAAAGAATTCTATTGACCACATATTTCAGACAGAGGAGACTATTTGATAGTCTCCAATATGAAAAACTTGTTTCCCCAAAGATTTTATTACCATGAGAAGTCAGGTTACCACATCCCTAATACATTTTTGTTTACTTGTCTGTTTTGATCTTTCAAAATTACTTCATGTTCATTGAATCGAGCTCAAAAGAGCTGTGAACTTCTTTTAAGACAGAACTGAAAGAATTTAAATGTAAGAGACAGGACATTTCAAATTTTGTACTTCAAGGAATTAAATTAATACTGCTGCCTTCTCTCCCCCTCCCAAAAAAGGAACATGTTATTTATCAATCTGCACAATCATATGGTGAAAATAATTTTTATATAAAATTGTTTCTTTATATCTTAATTCAAATAAGACGGGCTTCCTTGGAAGATAAGGATATTACACAGGTAATATTCCTTGGCAGAGACACTATTTTTGTATTGACTGAATACAAAATAAATAATTCCCCACCTTACCTCCTCCTCTTCTGCAACACGAGATTCTCGCAGAGCTGTGGGAAAAACTCGTGGTGTAAAGTTGACTTTAATTGTAGCAGCAGCTCGGGGAGCTGGTAACAGTTCTTCCTTTAAATTCTGTGAAAATATACTACAGGAACCATCACCTATGAAAAGAGAGCAATGGAAGTGAAAAATTAAGCAAGAGATTTTGCTGGTTTTCTACCAAAGTCCAAAGTACACCTGGACTTAGAAATGTGGCACATTATAATTAAACCTCTAATCGCTTGAGAAAAGTTTAGACTTGTTCTTTTGAAGTGAAGGTTCAAACAGTTTTTCTTCCTGATGCAGCAAACAAATAAATGGAATTATACAGCATCTGTCACAAATAAACTCCTCTTATACCTCTCTTTGTTGTTTGTGTGATTCTGTGACAGGCCAACAATAAGAGCTAAAACTAACCTATTGAATCAAACAAACAAAAAATTAAATTCTTCCGTTGGTTTAGTTGCCTGAATTGGCTCTCCATGGAGCCAAGACACAAGACAGAGAGTGCAAAAGGAGATTGAATATTTCTGTGAAATCCAACAGTTAGGTAACTTTGGGTAACAGAAATCCACCCCCAGGAAGTCTGCATTACACTGCCAGAAAGGCTTTCTGATTTACTTTTCTAAAGCTTAGAACAAAATCCACCCTTGTATTTCCAAAGACTTCAACAAGAGCTAAGAACTCATGTGCTTTAGCTCAATAAATTGCCTGAAAATAACAATTTTAAAAATAACTGTGAGCTAAAAGAACTGGTTAGGTATGGTGAAGACAAAGATAAATGGTGAATTATAAACATCTAGGAATAAAGTTATACCCACACTTTAAAGAATTATAAAGTACAGTTCAATGCTACAACCTTTTGTGGATTTGAGTCTGGTCTTAGAAGTTCCTTCATTAGGAATCTGAGTTTTGTTCATTTTTTCATTTTTTCTCTGTTTTAATGGCTCTATTTCTTGATGTAATGCTCCCTTTTTTTGCATGCTCTTGTATTTATCACCATCTTTTTGTTGTTTTTTCCATAACTCCAACTCTTTAGCAACCTTCTGCCTCTCCTTTTCTTTCAGATCTTCAATTCTTTTTCTTTCTGCTTCCTCTAGCTATTTGAACAAAAAAAAAAAACCCTATGAGACACATAACATCTGATAATACTGACTTGACTAAGTTAAAACTACCATTATTTTCCCAGTTTCATATCCCAAGCATAGCGTAACCAATAATGTGACCATACAAGCAGAGTTAATTAAGATGCTTAAAAATTACTGTGAGACTAAAGATTTCTGATTAGCTTTTAGAGGTTTCATCTTTTAACTATTTTACTAACAACCCTAAAGTACAATCCAGAAACATTCAGAAATAAACTTTACCTTTTTTTATTTTTTTTAAGTAAATTTACTTTTAAACAGTGAAAATTCTAGCCTTGTTCCAATGTAGATCTATGGAGAATACAGAAATGTAAAATATATGCGATGATCTGAATACACTGTTCTTTATTTCTCCTCTTCTCTTAGAGATTATTACATATTTAGAAGACATACAGCATTGCTACTAAGAAAGTCACTAGCTGTAGTTCTTTTTGGTCCATATTGCATATGCGATCTTAAAATTTCATTGCACGCTCCAAAAAAAATCCTTTGAACACAATTGAAGTGACCAGACTTTTTATATACAAAAGAATATTAAGAACATATCTTAAAATATACATAAAAATCAGAATAACAAAGACACAAACACACAAAAGAAAAAAAAAGCAAGTCTGATATAAAATACAACAAAGAATAAGTGAAATTTTTTAAGTCATTATTTTTCACAGTGCTAAAGGACTAAACATCTGCAAAGGCCAGAAAAAAGTAGTTTTGCCACATGACTGTACTCTCCTTTCAACAGACAAAAATGTGAGCTTATCACCAAAAACTTTCATTAGTATTATTCCCAGAAAATGGCAACAGCTAAGCACTTTTTCTGTAATATTTTTGAATTTGATAATAAATATGTTTTAAATACAAAGAAATAACAAGGTTCACCACCGCTATAATAAAAATCAGTACTTTTCATATTTTTAAGGTACATTTAGCAAAGCATCTGCCAGATTAGTTGGTAGTTGTTTACATGTATGTCTTGTAAAGCCCTTTCCAAACCTACCTTCATTGTGGACTCCAAAGCATATTTTTTGTTTTCCTGTTTTGTAATTTTTTTTGCTTCTGTCTCCTCTTTTGCCTTTTCATGGGCTTTTAGAACAGCATTCTCTCTCAGATCTTGTAGCTTCTCCTTGTCAGCTTAAAAAAATAAACTATTATAGTAATTTAGGCCTGGAGTTCTACTGGTATGTACCATGTTAATAAAAACACGATTTCTTCCGCTACTTTGGCAAAATGCAACATGGTTACAATTTGACAAACCAGTGTCTACCAAGCCCACGTCTAAAAGAGAAAAATTAAGATTTGCTTACACACAAAAAGTTTGACAAGAAATTTTGTTTTGTTTCATACATGCTAAAATCAGGATGTTCTTTGTTCGCCCTTACTTTCTATTTTTACTAGTGTACAACAATATTGAACTGCGCAGATATCTACCAGCAGCAGTTTCACAGTATGGGTTCTTTACACATAATCAAATTTTTAGAGTAGAGAACTTACCATTTGCTAGAGTTAGGGAATCCCACATGGCAGGTTCTTTTTTATACAAAGTGAAGAAAATGTTTCCATTTCCAATCTTTGCTGTGCTATTTATGTCATCAATAGGAGCATATAAAATGGCTTCAAATAGAAAGGGAGGGATGCTTACCTACAAAAATATAATTTGTACTAATATTTACTATTTTAAATTAACTCTTACATATTCAAAACACAGCACAAGCATACAGTAAACCTCAAGAAACAGACACTATTGACAGAACTAATTTGCTTTGTAACCACTGTGTTGGTTTGTAAAAGCCCAGAGAAGGTGCTTCCTTCTGTTAAGGAAGGTAGGTCTTCACAATTTTGTAAATGAAGTTGAAAAATTCGGTTCTTCAGCACTGCAATAGAAGCAGTGGATTTCAAATTTAGGATTATTATTCACAGTATAAGCAAATGTATAAATTCAGTCCATTTATGAGAGTAAAGGCAGCTGGCACCTGTTGAGCGGCCAGAGCATTAGTAGAGAATGGGTAGTGGTAAAGCCATTATCTGCCGCAGAACGGGCGTTTAACAGCCTGCAGCACTCAGGGGGAGATTATAAAAGATAAAGGGTTATGAACTTGACGTGTTGCCACGGCTCGCGTGTTTTCGAGCAGGGTTACGGAGTGCCGCCGCGGCCCTGCGCGCCAGGAGGCCCGTGAGGCGAGCGAGCCGCGGCCGCCCACCTTCAGGTACTGCTCGCTGCAGAAGATGTTGGCGGGGCTGGCCCGGGCGCCGCGCAAGGGCAGCGAGAGGTACACGGCGGAGAGGGTCTGACGCCAGCTGTGCTCCCGCAGCCACACCGGCATCGCTGCGGCCGGAGGAGCTCCGGGGCGCGGCCCGGCCTCAGCCGCCCCGCCCGCCCCGCGGCGCACGCCGGGAGCTGTAGGCCCGAGGGGCCTGAGGGCCGCGGGCACGGCTTCCGCTGCCTGCGCTCACCCCTCAGCGGAGCAGGAAGGAATGCAGCTCATATCGTCCACATACATTTCTAGAAAGAGACAAACTGTTGGTAGTGTAGAATTTCTGACAGTAAGCTATCAAAAGCCGAGGATGGATTTGATTGATACACACAACCACAGAATGGGTCAGGTTGGAAGGAACCACGGTGGGTCCCTCTGGTCCAGCCTCCCTGTTCAAGCAGGGTCTTCCCAGAGCACTCAGCATAGGATTGTGTCCAGATAGTTCTGGAATATCTCCAGTGAGGAAGACTCCACAGCCTCTCTGGGCAGCCTGTACCCACACAGCAGCTCTTCCTTAGTTCAGGTAGAACTTCCCAAGTATCAGTTTCTGCCTGTTGTGTTTTGTTCGATCGCTCAGAACCACTGAGAACAGCCTGGCTCCATCCTCTGGCACCTCCCGTCAGACACTTACACACATTGCTGAGGCCCCCTCCCAGTCACCTCTTCCTGAGGATAAACAGGCACAACCCCCTCAGCCTGTCCTTGTAAGAGATTCTCCAGACCCTTGAAACAATTTGGTAGCTCTGTGCTGGACCTGCTCCAGGAGCTCCATGTCTCCTGTACTGAGGAGTCCAGAACACAATACTCTAAGTGTGGCCTCACCATGGCTCAGCAGAGGGCAAGATCACTTTCTTTGATCTACTCCAGCAATGCTGGCACTGAAAGTTCCACAGGTCCCCTAAAAATAACTGGGTCATACAGGCAGCGCCACCCTATTGCTGAGCAATATTGTCTGCTGTACTCTGCCAGAAACTCAGGAGGTAATTTGCACATTACCACTCCACGTTTCTCAAACAAACTGTAACACTGTATCTGCCAAAATAAAATCTGATATATTGAAAGCAACTGCTTCTGGAGAATACGGACTGAAAGATGAGCCAAACACAGCCGGACAAAAATTCAGGTATGTTTAAGTTCCTCAATAGTATACAATTACCTAGAACTATTAGGAAAAATCCAGAAACAAGAAGTCTAGTTTTCCCTCTTTCTTTTAAAATGAGGCCAAGAATAATGGAGTTTAATGTGGCTCACATTAGCTAGTATTTCTGATGTGTATCACTGAAGATTTAACTTTAATGTTAAGATTTAATTTTTATGTTCTATCACCTATAATACACTGCAATATTCAAATAGTAGAGATTACTTTTAAGACTGTCTATATATAAAAGGTATCTCAGAGATTTAAAGCTTTTTCAGAGCAAGAAATCCATCATAACTAATATGATTTCTGGGTTATTCTCCACCCTCACTCACCCATATCAATATCATCTGGAAGAATCCTTGCATGGACTGGAATTCAAGAACATTCAAAGTACATAGCAGCAGCAGCTAGAATTATTATAATGTAGTAACCCAAAATCTCCTACCACTCCAGCTGTAGTCATCCAGAAAGCATCCTTCAGTTATGGAGAGTTCATCCACAGACAGTAAGTCAGAGGTTCTGAGTGCAGGTCTTCTGCCTGGGTCACCCAGGTGTCATTTTTAGTTTACTCACAGAGAATATACTGAAATGAAGCAGCTTATTATTTATTCCTGCTAGAAGAACTATATTATGCATACATGCTTTACAAGACAAGACACAGTTATGGTTACCAGTATTTGGTCTTCTCAAATTATACAAAAGATCTCCAATACATCAACGAAAATGTCTGTTTACTTAAAACCTAGATCTGCAATGTAAAGCTTGTAGGCAACACAGTAAATATCACTAACATGTTTTTATGTCAAAGTAGCAGATTTAGCTGCTAAAGGAGACCAAAGGGGTTCAGTAAGGTGTTGGATCAACCTTTACAGTTTTGAATCAATACACATGTGCAGAACCACCACCTCTGTCCCACCCACTCCCCAGCCTTACCTGGACAAGCTGCTGTGCTCTCGCTGCGACACACTTGCAAAATAAGAGACACCCATGCAGAGTGGTTTTTCTGCTGGCACTAACTTTATCAGTCAAAAGTCTGCAGTGAAAAGTTTGCAGTGAAAGAAGAAAATTTTCCACTGAAAAATCTGATTCCCAAATTCCCATCTCCTGTGCTATGAAGGATGCAGATTTATGTTCCAGACAAACCTTAATAATATTATTAATATTCTGGACCTTCCAGCTGCCTATACATACATACATCTTGTCTGGGGTTATTTCACGTCTAATGACTTCAGAAGTTTTAATATATGGGAGGGAAAAAATCCTTTATATAGTTTACATTTTCTTAGCTTTAATTATTAATTATGATTAACCTTTTAAAATTAATTAATTAATAACCTTGTTTCCTCCCATCCTTTCTAAATTCTCTCATCCCTCCCTATTTTTAACGAAAAGCAGAATCATTTTATGAGGCTGTTTATTCCAACAAACTCTTTTGCATATGTGGCTTGGGATCTATATCAGTTACTTTCAAAAATTATCAGTAAAGTTGTGATATAGTATGTTAGCTCTGGCATTTTAACTAACAGGAAGAGCTCAGCAATAATTTTATAAACTGGAATAAATAATTCTTTGTATAATCACTTTCCAAGTGCACAAAGTTATTTAAAAAAAATAAAAATCTATTTGGACAAATGGTGCTCGAGCCTTCCCTCCCATCCTGTGAGGAAAGACATGGGGCTGAAGGCACAAGACCTTTTGCCACCTGTTTTGAAGTAACTGCAGATTAACACCTTTATGGAACAGTGAAGCTCTCCAAGAGAGGCAGGAGCTGTATTTTCTGATGCATATGACCTCATGCTGCTTCTTGAAGGATTACGCCCAATCCAAATGTGTTCTCACAAGCAGAACATTAGAAGACTCCCTCTAGGCATTACACCATCTTCAGAAAGTCAACAGGCAACTTCCCCACAAAAATTATCTTTATTTTAAAATAAATTGAAACCAGACAACAGAAAGCAACAAAGTTACATACAGTGCTGGACAAAGTCTACCATATACATTTTCCAAGAACACTTGAATCAGATTCTGATATATGTTCTTTGTTCTTCTAGAAGGTAAAAATATCACATCATTACTAACAAAAAAAAATTAAATGTCAACAGTCTTAATCAGCTTATATTTTGCATTGTTTGGATGGCAGTAGATTGGTAACTTGCCTTTTTCTACTCACTTTTAACTCTAATAGGAGAATGTGGACAAAAAATTCCAAGTCAGAAGGCCCTAAAGACCACAGTGCTTGCTCTAAAGGCCACAAGCACAAGCTTGGAGGAAAGACCACATTTTAAATAAAAATTACTAAAAATTTTGTATCATTTCACATTTCAGGAAAAAAAAACTATCAAGAAAGAAAAAGAAAAACAAAAAGAAAAAATAATATATTAAGAGCTTGCCCTCCTTAAATTACATGGAAGCTCAGATTTAGATAGTTCTGTAGAGGAAAAGATGAGTGTCCAGGAACAGACGACTCTCATAACTCCAATCTCAAAATGTCTCCAGTACAGCAATTCCTGAAATACAGTGCACAAATCTCCAAGTAAAAAAAAAAAGGTGGGGCTGGATCAAAAAATTATTTTGATACAGTCTCTTTGAACATGAAAAGGAAAATTATGTATGGTAAACAATGCAGAAATAGTTATTCCCTATGGTGCTGGGCTAAGCCATTTCTAAACCAGGAGACAAAGGGTGACACTGAAAACTTCAAGCTAGAGGCAGCACCTCTGAGGATGTGAACACCACTCAGAACTAATTACCCCAGAATTGATGACACATAGCACTAGGCCACTAAAATGACTTCTCTTCTATATAAAGCAGAAGTTATCACTTCCATATAAAGAAGTGAATGTGCATAACACAAGATGTAGTGTAGGATAGTTATATTGCCTTAAAGAGTTCTGCTAAGTACACTTAGTTTCCAATTTTAGGGAAGAGTCTATTCTAATATAGAAAGCTTCTGCCAAAACTTAGCAACTGCAGAATAACTTTAAAATACATCCAGTTCTACATCCTCCTGCATATTTCTAATCACATCCAATAGACAAAAAAATTATATGCCCTCTAAACAAACAAAAAAAATTACATGTTTTGTTAAACAAGTAAAGAGTGTTAGAATAGAATTTTCACACCCAAGAGCTGATTACTAAATGTTCACCTGTTTACCAGTGGAAAATATTAAGAAATTCATATTAAGTAATGGCAACAAGATGATAACACATATCAGTGCTGTGTGTTCTGAAAGGTACTCAGTTTTAGTTATCATCAATTGCTACCATCTATCATACCTCATTCTATGCAAGATACCTCACCAGCTACCAATCCATAAACAATAATGCTTCACATACTTCATAGAGTAGCTTAAAACACATCATGGTATGAAATAATTTGTATTACATAGTAATTTAATCCCTGGCCACAGGGTTAATGTTGGACAAAGTCTGGAAACTTTTTCCAATTTGAATTACATACATTAACTTTGTCACACACCACAGCACTAATGCATGTATTACATCAGACATGCTCTAATTTAAAATCAAAACAAAAAAGTTGTTGCAAAAATACATGTCACCAATGTGGAACACATTCAAGATTGTATAAAAAGTACTGAACTGATATCCCAAAACAGGTATATTTAAGCAGTACATAAGGAAAGATTAGTTTTAATATGAAACATTCATTTAAGTCACATACAACATGATAAGAAGCAAGACTTCCTTTTTTAGAAATGTTACACCAATACTTCTACTGACAGGCAATGTTTATTTATAAAATGTAAGGGATATATTTAATGCAGATGTGTTACTGTATTAAGTTGGAATAAAGACAAATGTTAAAAAGGTGCTACATTTTAACACCACTGATTTTGTAAAAATCTCAAACCATAAAAGCATTTTACTTGCAAATATCACAGGCCCCAAACTGCAAACACTTTAAAACATT